TCAGCAGTCACTGGTTTCTGGACTTGATCCTGAGGTGTCTCAGCAACCCCTAGATCCCAGTCTTGCTGCTAACAGGTGAGGGGCAGGGTGGCAGGGAGACAGGAAGGGACTAGACTTGTGTCCACTTGGCCTAAGCTTTCCCTGCGTTGGAGTTTGGGGACTCTAGCGGCAGAACCCCAGCCTTGCCACAGATAAGCTTGGTGCCAAAGGCCCGGCCCTGGGCAGCAGCACCTAAGCTGATTGTGAGCCGAGGGAAGGTGACCGTGAGAAGGGCCAGCGGAAGGGCAGGAGGAGGCTGAACAGAAGAGAAGGAAGAATGACTGGGCAGGAGAGGGCTGGAAGGGCTGGGGGTGTCCTCTTGGCTCAGAGGAAAGTGGGGGTGGCTGAGGGTCAACAGGATGGCAGATATGCTGGATGCATTTTAAGCTGGTGGGGAGGTGGCACCTGGCCCTGAAGGGATGGAAGGGGTATGGGTCTGATGGAAGGGACTTCTGGGTCAGAAACAGGACCTGACCCCCCACTAGCCCCTCTCAGTATTTGAAGGTCCTTCCTGGATCATTACCCAGCCTCCTTTATAGCTGCCCATCCCCCATGTTGCCTGGCACTGCTTCCTGGGTGTGCATCTGAGGGTGCCAGGTCCTAGAAAGTGATGGCCAAACTCACCCCTTCACCTCAACTGATTCTTCTCTCAGGTGGACATGGCCTGCAGGAGCCACATCCAGCCCAGTGACCTGGCCTGCACCATGCAACTGGCCCTGGCATGGATCATATTGGGGGCTTGTGGAGGGAGCCACCAATTCCAAGCTAGGTCCCAGGGACACCTTGGGCTTGCATCGAATCTGGGCACAAACCAAGTGCAACTGGCAGGTGAGCACCTCAAACCATGCCTAATCCCCAACACCCAGGAGCCCCCTCTCCACCAGGGCAATGCCAGAATTTTCTTATGAGAAGAGCGTAGGGTGACTTTGAGGGTGCCAGCTGGTGTTAGTGATGAAGAATGGTGGTTAAGAGAACAGACTCTAGGTGTTAGACCGCCTGGGTTCAAATCCCAAATCTGCCAGTTCATGGCTGTGTGACCCTGGTCACTTCAGTTAACCTCTCTGGGCTTCACATGGACCACTAAAATGGGAGAGGGTGTCAGATCTACAGAACTACCTTATAGAAGTGATGTGAAGGTTAAGCATGTGAGCATTTGTATCACTTTAGGCATATGACAAATAATAAACTGATTATTGTAAGTGATATATGATCATTTCTACTTGAAGCTTCATTTACATCCCAAGAGAAGTTATCTTTTTTAAAAATTTATTTTTAGTATTTATTTTTTATTTGTAGTTGAACACAATACCTTTATTTTATTTATTTATTTTTATGTGGTGCTAAGGATCGAACCCAGTGCCTCACACGTGCAGGCGAGCGGTCTTAGAACTGCTGAGCCACAACCCCAGCCCCCGCCCCCAGAAGAGTTATCTTTACTTAAGTTCTTTCCTTCCTTCCTTCCTTCCTTCCTTCCTTCCTTCCCTTTCTCTCTTTCTTTCTTTACCAGGGATTGAACTCAGGGCACTCAACCACTGAGCCACATTCCCAGCCCTATTTTGTATTTTATATAGAGACAGGATTTCACTGAGTTGCATAGCGCTTCGCCATTGCTGAGGCTGGCTTTGAACTCGCGATCCTCCTGCCTCAGCCTCCTGAGCCGCTGGGATTACAGGCGTCCACCACGGTCTCCGCCTACTTAAATTTTGTGTTTAGGAGAAGTGATGCAATCGTGGTCTTCTGTGTTTAGGGGATCTTCAGGCCTCAGGTCCCCAACCTTACATGATGATCCAAGACCCTGACTCACAGGCGTTCCCGCTGCCGGAACCTTGTTGTCCTTCAGAGATGGACACCCCAGAGACATCAGGCCCTGGGATCTTCCCACCGCGCTGCGGGACGCCGAGCTCCGGGTGAGTGCCGCGCCCCCTAGCGTTTCCTGGTGAACTCTGCCTAGAAGCCCCTGCCTGGGGCTAGATCCCACCCCTCTTCCGCCGCGCGCATCCTGCCCCATCCCTTCCTGTCTCTCCCAATGTCCAGATGCGAATCCTTCCTGGGACACCTCCAACGCGCGCTCCGCGATCGCTTCCACCTGCTGCTGTTGGGGGTACGCCGAGCGCCGCCGCTCTGCGAGGAGCTCTGCCAGAACTGGTAGGAGAGGCGGGGCATTGGGGGCGTGGCCTATTGTTTGGGCGGGATGTAGGACCAGGTTGGTGTGTCTTGGGTTTGGAGAGGCATGACGCGCCCCTAACTGGACCAAAGTCTAAAGGATGAGGCCTAGTGCTTAGAGTCAGGCAGAAAGAGGCTAAGCCTGTGGCTTCTCTGGTTTTTAAGATGGCTATGGGTCATGGCCTCTGATGGACCTGGAGTTTTTTAGGGGCAGTACCTCCTGATTGAAAAGGATGGGAACTAGAGGGGCTGGCTGGAGCAGAGGGTCTGAGGTCTGCAGAGATGAAGGCAGTTATAACATGGCTCTGAGTATGTGCACAAAAAGTTGATAAACTATGGGACCAGGCGGTTGGGGATGTAGCTCAGGGGCAGAGCGCCTACTTAGCAATGGCAGGTTCCTGGGTTCAATCCCCAGTATAGCTAAATAAATAAATAAAGGAGGTTCATTAGAAAAATAAATAATAAAGTAAGGAAGGCAGTCTGGGAAGGGGGGGGGGGGATGAGGCGTTAGGGGCGTGGTCCAAAGAGGCAGGGTCTGGATCTGAGCGAGGTGCTTGGATAGGCCGAGGCTTGGAGCGCGCAACATTACTAGCTGCGGCTGCGAAGCCTTGACCCACCTTCTCTGCACACATCGCCTCCAGGTTCGCCACCTGCGAAGCTGATATTACTTGTGGTCGGACTTGGCTGTGGCCCTCAGAAAGGAGAAGCTGCGAGGGTCGCTGCCGCACTTACGGGCAGGTGAGCGAGAGGCAGAGGGCCAGAGGGAGTCTGCGGTCCTACCTTAATATGCTTAGATCCTGGAGTCCGGACTGGCCTTTGCAAGGACCCTGCTCCCACCCTTCCCCCTTTTCAGCCTCCCCTCCATACTGGGATGTGCCCATGGCCTCCCAGGAGCCCAGATTCTGGGCTGGCCAGCAGTCCGCCCTGGAGGAGTCAGAGACCCACTTACCCACTCCAAGGTCCCCACGTACCCCAGCCTCAAGGAAACGTCCAGATCGTCCTTCCCCAAAGTCTCGCCTCTGACCACACCGCCCCCAGCAGATCTGGACTCTGCTCACTCAAGCGCCCACGCCACTTTCTTCCTAGACTTTTGCTGACGGAGTGGATCTTTGTCGCTCGGTTCTGGGTCACATCCTGCCGGTGGCAGCTCCTGGCTCCCGTCATTGCCTCAACATCTCCATCTCATTATTGCCGCGTCCTAGACCCGGACGTTGGGCCCGAGAAACTATCTCCCAGCGCTCCCGCCGCCGTCGCACCGGGATCCTGGACGCTGGGGGCAGCGGGAGTGGCAGTGGAAGCGGCAGCGGCCCCTAGCGGGCGCCCGGTCTTCAAAAAAAGAGGCGTCCCTTCCCTAGGCAAGGCCCCCTCCCTGCCTTCTAATACCCAGAGTCCTGTCCCTCCTTCCCTAGGGCTCCCAGAAGGGTCCCCCTTCAGGTTTTCCGAGAAACGAAACGACCCAACTCCAACTAATTTTACCCTCTCCTTCTGAAATAAAGCTTCCCGCTAGAGCACGTGGTACGGCTCCTTCTTGGGGAAACAGAGAATTGCCTCAAAGTGACAGGATTTTTTTTGTACTGGGGATTGAATTCAGGGACAATTAACCACTAAGCCACACCCCCAGCCCCCGCCTCTTTTTTGTGTTTTGTTTAGACAGCGTCTCTCTGAGTTGCTGAGGGCCTTGCTAACTTGCTGAGGCTGGCTTTGAACTAGGATCCTCCTGCCTCGGCCTTCTTAGCTGTTGGGATTACAGGCGTGTGCCACCGCTCCTGGCATGTGTCCAAATTCTAATCCTCAGGACCTACAGCTAGCAGCTGATTGACACTAGAGTGTAACTGACAACAGCCTCTATCCTGGATTGCTGTTACAACTCTGAATACCCAAGTGTCACGGATGGGCATAGGAGGGCACAAGGGGAGCTGACAAGGACAGAGGTGTGCCTTCCACTGTGTGCTGCCAGGCCTGCCAAGAAGCCCCCTGACATTTATGGACAAGAAGGATTCATGGTCTTCCCTTCTGAGCAAGCCGACAACACAGTGTCTGGCAATCCCCTCCTCCATATCCCAGTTCCTGCCTAGGGAAAGGAACTAGACACAGGTTGGGATTTCTGCAGTGAACATCACTCCTGCCCCAGGATTGAACCCAGGGGTGCTTAACCACAGAGCCCCAGCCCCACCCTTTTTAAATTTTCTTAGTTGTAGATGAACACAATACCTTTATTTTTATGTGTACTGAGGATCAAACCCAATACCTCATCTGTGCTAGTCGAGCACTATCACTGAGCCACATCCCCAGCCCTTTTATTTTTGAGAAAAGGTCTCATTAAGTTGCTGAGGGTATTGCTAAATTGCTGAGGCTGGCCTCCATCTTGTGATCCTCCTGCCTCCCAAATCCTTGGGATTATAGGCATGCACCACTGTGCCCAGTTGGTGCTGCATTTTTTTCTCCCTTGGCAGTGCCGTCCATCTGTTTCTACCAACATCACCACACAGTTGAGTGAGGTACTGGGCGCCAATGTCGGAGGTCACTAGGTGAGAGGAAGTTTTCAGCTGTACCTGCAGTCCCCTTCAAGAAACATCCTTATGCAGAAACACACTTACACATCACAGGACTTTTGGTCCTGGTAATCAAAGAAAGGGTCCTGTGTGTGCTGGGCAGGCTCTCTACCACTGCTACCCCCCAGTCCCAGGGCAGGGCTATATTTTAAAAATCAAATCAGTCCAATACTACCCAAAAGGCAGCAGCTGCATCGGGCTGCTGAAGTCACTCCCATACCTCTGGCCCCAAGGACAACCCCTCCATTTGCTTATCCTTCAACAACTTTAATCCTCCTTGATGAGGGGAGGCAGGCCTGGGGAGGAAGGAGGCACCTCCTACAGGGCAGTGGCTGGTTCCAGGCCCCGCTCCTGGAAGTATCTGTGGGGGGCACGGGGGCGGGCTCGGGAGCCTTTGTTGAAGTAGGCGGTGATCCTCTCAGGTCCTTCCAGGTCCTGTGCTGGGGAGTCCTCCCTGTGGAGAGAGGAGTGACATGACCACTTCCGGGATGGGGCCTGGCCCTCCCATCCCTCTCCTATAGCATCCACAGCACCCACCACAACACATCTGCAGCCTCCTTTTCCAGGATGGTCTGGGCTGTGCTCCAACTGAACCGAACGAACTGGGGGAAGCCAAACACGGGTTCCACTTGTTTCTTCAACCATGCTTTTGTCTTGGGATCTGGGGGTGGGACAGGCAATGACAGCAGTCCCCAAGTCTCAAGGTAACACCCAAGCTCCAGGTCCACTCACCTTTGACTTCCTCCTGAGTGCTTGGGGCATTTTGTGCCTCAGGCCCTTTGCACAGGCAGGTCCTTCCCTCCCATTCTGTGCCTGGCTGAGCAGTGCTCAAGGTGCAACTTGAGACTGCCTCTGAGATAGCCTCTGACCCCCAAGGACAACAATGTAACACCCATTCTCTCCACAGGCAGGAGCTCAGTGAGACCTTGAGATGTTTGACTTACTGCTGTATCCCCAGGGCTCAGTCCTGCACGGCAAGTACCAGGCACCCTGACTTCTAATCACCTGAGGGGGCTCTGCTCCCCACCCAGCTTCAAAAGGACTGGAGCTATCCTTGAACCCAACCACCAAACCTTCACTGTATCTTTCTGTTTGCACTGCAGGGATAAAAGCCCTGCCCGTGGATGCCGGGCAAGTGCTCTACCTGAGCTACGACCAGCTCCGCCACTGAATCCTCACACCTGCCCTTGATGCCTGCATGAGGTTTGCAGGAAGGTGAGTATGAGACTGCCTTCATTGTATAATGAGGACATGGAGCCTCGTGGTGGAGAGACAGCACAGATTACAGATTTAAACTGAGGCCACAGGATGGAGCCAGGACCCCCATTCCTGCCTTCTTCCCCTTAACAAGCAGATACCTTTGGTCTCAGCCCCTGCCCTTTTTTTTTTTTTTGGGGGGGGGTAGTGGCAGGTACTAGGGATTGAACCCGGGGGCACTTAACCACTGAACCACATAGCTAGCGCCCCCTTTTTTGAGACAGGGTCTTGCAAAGTTGCTTAGGGCCTCGCTAAGTTGTTGAGGTTGGCTTGAACTTTCGATCTTCCTGCCTCACTCTCCCAAGTCCCTGGGATCATAGGTGTGCGTCACCAACGCCCAGCTCAGTCTCTCACTCTCTGGGGCTCCAGACAGCAAAATGAGGGAGGGGAGGAGAGCGCCTATGAGCTGGAATCCAGCTGCCACTCACTGGCCATGAGGCCCTGATCAGACATACAGTGTCTGGGGTTCAGACTCTTCTGCTATGGAGCGGAGCGGCCAGAACGATTTAGAAACCTTCAGCAGTGTGCTCGACGTAGCTACGTCAGTGTTACCACCACAGTGGGGGTCTCAGGGCAGCTGCAGAGCAGGCCTGACTGCCATCTGCTCACCATTAGGGTAGCCGGAGCCATAATCAGCATCCAGGTCCTGCAGGTCCTCCACAAACTGCCAGTTCTTCACTGCCTGGTCTCGAGCCACCTGCAGGCAGGACAGAAACTTGGAATCTCCTTCCCCCAGGGGAGCCAAGGCTGGTCCCTCCCAGAGAGATGCCAGAAATCATCCACGGTCAGTGGGGGGCTGACCTTGGCACAGATGCTGGCAGCGCTGACCACAGGGTAGAGGGCATCTGCTTTGGCCTTGACTGTCACGTCAATTCCAGGAAAGCGCTGCTGCAACCGCTCCTGGTATGTCTCCGGCAGCCCCACTGTGTCCACAAACACCTATCATGGTGACAGAAATGTTCTCATTCAACAAACAGCTGGAAAAAGAACTGTGCAAAGGATCCAACCTCTCAGCCATTGTACTTGCTGTTTTCAATTCCCACAATCATTTTCTTTTTTTTTCCTCAGGGAGCTGGGAATGGAACCTCGGTCCTAACACATGCCAGGAAAGTGCTCTACCACTGAGCCCTTTTCCCAGACTGACATTGACTTTTATTAAATGTAAAAAGTATTTTGTTGGTGCTAGGGATGCAGTTCAGTGGAAGAGTGCTTGCCTGGAATGCACAAAGACCTGGGTTCCATCCTCAGCACCCCCCCCCCCCCCCCACACACACAAAAGGCTTTGCCTGATCATGCTGCAGACACTGCACACTTATTAAGCACCTAGTGCATGCCAGATGCTGTCGTACGTAATAAGGACATGGCAGCAAACAAACTACAGAAAAATCTCAGCCTTTGTTGGGTGAAAATCTTGGTGAGGGCAAAGACAAAAACCAGGGTAAGTACAGAACAGGAAAAAGTTTAAAGCGGTTATAATTTTAAATACTGACAAGGAAGATCTAAAGTGGTGATATTTGAATAGAGACTTGAAGGAAGTAAGGAAATAAACCATGTGGAGATCTGGGAAAGAGTGTTCCAGGAGGAGGAAAGAGCCAGTGCAAAGGCCCTGAGGTTGAACCATGTGGATGTTGCTGAACAACTGATTGGAGGCTCCATGGTTGAAGCATAGAAGTGAGGTCAAGGAGCTGATGGTTCAAGTGGTGCCTCTATGGAAATTATCATTTTCAGAAATCATATTTACTTTTTGTGTACCAGCTGACCATCTGTTTCTCCAGATTAAGCCTTGAAACCCTAAGTATAGCATCACCCACCAGCTCTGCATTCAGGGTTGGGGCCTCAGCCACTTCCTCAGCAAAGTCTGCCTGCTACATTTCCTGTATCAGAGTTATTTCCCCTGGTAATTCTCACAAAGCCTACCGTCTTTGACTCAGAGCAATTGATGCAATGCTGACTTATGTTTTTCTCTGATAATTTAATCTCATTCTCCCCCACTTGACTCAATTTTCCTGATTTAATTTCCACTGTGATCATAAAATTAAATGTCATGATTTACATTTCACAAAGACAACCGTCTGCTGTGTGGGGAACAGATTGGAGAGGAAGGGGATGAAGGTGGGGGAATCAGGGAGGAAGCAGGGCAGATTTCCAGGTTGCAGAGGGTACACTGGGCTAGGACAGAGGCTGTGGGAAGATCGACAGACGTGGGACTTGTTCTAGACCTTTAGAATAGGGGTTCAGATTAGACAGCAATGGAGCACACATTTAGGTCAGGAACAGGAGTGGGGATTCAGTGGCAGCAATGAATATGCCTGAGGCACTCCTGATGATCTTTTTTTTTTTTTTAAAGAGAGAGAGAGAGAATTTTTTTTAATATTTATTTTTTAGTTTTCGGCAGACACAACATCTTTGTATGTGGTGCTGAGGATCGAACCCGGGCAGCATGCATGCCAGGCGAGCATGCTACCGCTTGAGCCACATCCCCAGCCCAACTCCTGATGATCTGATGTTGAATCTGTCCACTGCACTTTCTTTTTTCTTAAAACAATTATAATCTTTTTATTTTCTTGATGTTGGGGATTGAACTCAAGGCCCTGCACATACTAAGGACATACTCTTACCACTGAGCTCCACCCCCAGGCCACACTGCACTTCATAACCTCCATTTCATCCAAAGATGATTAAATAGAGGCAACCCAACAATCAGCTCACCTGGGTGACTCTCACACCCTGGTCCAATGCATACTGTATTAGTCCAGCAGCTGTATCGTGGGACAGGGCGTTCAGGTTGTATTTGACCCTGCAGTGGTGGGTAGAGCTCAGTTAAACCCATTCCAGCCACAGGGCCCACCTAGGCCATGCTGGCCTACCCCTCCACCCCAGCCCCTCTGAAGCACCCCTCACCGCCCAAGCATGCTGGTAGAGATGAGGTTTGGAGATAGCACGTCCAGAGCCCAGCCCACAAAGTCCCCGTTCTCCTCCATTTTGGCAAAGAGCCTGTCCCGATCGCTCTCCGACATGGTCTTTGAGTCTGGGAGGAGAGTTGGAGAAAAGGGGGGCAGCTTGTTTTCCCAATTCCTGCTCTTCCCCTAGATTTCTCACCTGCTCCCCCCACCCGGCACATGCCCAGGAACCCCATCCTCAGAAGTGTATTTCAGGCTCACCTGCCACTTTCATAGCCTCCAGATCTGCCAGGCGGGTCAAGGGACAATAACAGATGGCGTAGACCATGGGCCCTGGGGAGGAGAAATGTCAAGATTTCTGGGAACAAGGGTCCAACTAGTGAGTCCGTGTCAGCCACCAACTCTCTTCCATCACCACTGCTTTGTTCAGTGCCACCACCGATGCCATGGTCATCCCACTATAACTCATGGTCATCACGCTCCCCCAGGTCGGATGCAATCCCGACTCAGGTTCCAGGGCGACTGTCTTTCCCTTACTACGCCCCTCCCCTTCCCTGGCCCTAGGGACGCACCAAGCACAGGGCCCCGACCCGCTTCATCGACGCCGAGAACGCATGACTCCTTGCGGCACACGGCGGGCACTGGCGAGCTCAGGCGACAGCGGCCTGTATTGTCTTTCTCCAACTCGCTGAAATCCATACCCCCTCAGCGGCCGCCGCCAGCTGCAAGAAGGAGCGCCGCAGGCGCTGGCCTTGGCGCGCGATTGCCTTGAGCTCCACAGCAGCGCTGGATCCTGACCAATCAGCGCGCGGGACACGCCCCCGACGCTCCCGCCGGCGCGGACGTTTACGCATGCAGCGCCGACGCCACTGCCGTGCGGCCTCCTAGGAATTGTAGTCCCCACGGGAGGCAACGGAGGGCGTGCTTTGCACCGGGTCACTTTCCGAGCTCCGCCCCGGGGTCTCTCGTGCCTTGCTCGTGGACGCTGCTGAAAAAAGAGGAAAATAAAGGGGAAACTGAGGCGCAGCTCAGTTTGACTCTGTTTTGGGGCAAAGAAGGCCAAATATCATGCCCAGTCCGTTGCTCTCCGCACCACTGGGCCCCGGTCCTTGGCGGCCCTTATTCTCGTGGTTCCTGCCCTCATATACGCATTCTGAAAACTGTGTTTTCTGCACTATGTATTCCCATTGTTTCTGGGTCAGGCATTCCAAGTTGGAGTCCCTAAACTCCCACTTTCGGCCGTTAACTTGTATCCCCCCTGCTACCAGGATCTCTGCCTCCTACTCTAATTAGGGCCAAGCCTCCCCTACTCCTAATGGAGATCCACAACCCAGCAGATTCCTGCTTATAGAGTCTCAGGCCTCCTCAACCCATAACCCCCCTTTCTTCTGCTCTCCCCTCCCAGGCCCCTCTGCCACTCCTGCCGCACCTCTCCTTCTATCCCTTGGACTCTGTAGGGTTCATGTCCTCTGCCTGTGGGTTTCTGCTCATCGGAACCATGCGCCTCTATCAATTTCCTAGTTCCCCCATCTCCCCTATCCCTCCAGTGCATACCACCTTTTTGTTTTCTTCCTGGTCATCAGGGAAGGCTCTTTTTTGTTTTTTGTTGTAGATGGACACAATTACCTTTATTTTATTATTTATCTTTATGTGGTGCTGAGGATTAGACCCAGGGCCTCACACATTGCTAGGCAAGAACTCAACCACTGAGCCACATCCCCAGCCCTATTCCTATTATGTATTTTCTTTAGAGGCAGGGTCTCACTGAGTTGTTTAGTGCCTCGCTTTGGCTGAGGTTGGCTTTGAACTCCCAATCCTCCTGCCTCAGCCTTCCAAGTTGCTGGGATTACTGAGTGCACCACCCCACCTGAAGGCTCTTGACTCAGAGGTCTTGACTCAGCTCGCCCCTCCCCTACTGGCCTCAAGACTCAGATTTAGGGCCCCAGTTATCTCCTTCCTCTTACTAGCCTCACACCCTCTACAAACACCTCCCTTCCTCTTTCCCTCCCCTCCTTTGGGACCCATGGCCTTGCCAGTTGCTTCTGCCCCTGCCTGCCTCCTCTATGCCAGTCTCTCACCTGGGTTCAGGGCCTCCAGTTGCAGTCGATTGGCTTGCAGGATGGACAATCCCTTTGCCTGCAGGGCCTCGTCTGGACCAGGTTCTCTCGATCCATGAACACCATGGGATCTGGAGCTGTGCCCAGCACCTCACGGCTGCGTTCTTGTTTGCCCAGGTTGCAGAAACAGTGCCACTTTCCCCAGGGGCCTAGGATCGAATCCTCCAAGACTAAAGATAGAGATGAAGACTCAGGTAGGGGTGCCTCCAGGAAGGCACAAAGATAATTATACTAACAAACAATGGCTCATATTTGCTAGGCAGTTTGCCAGGCTCTGCCTGTATGCCTTTTAGTCTTCCCATTAGTCCCAGGTGAGAAAACTGAGACCTAGAGATTCATTCTCCCAAGGTCACACATCTGGTGAGCCCAGAGGGTCTGCAAACTGACATCTCTAAACTGTGCCAGCTTGCCCAGTGGGAGTATAGACACCCTTGGTGCCTGCCATCCGAAGTTGAGAAGTTGACTCTTGTCCTCAGAGGCTTGATCATAGGCCTATCTAACAGGCACAATGCCACCTTACCAGCAGGGCTGACAGGTGGTAAATTAAATGACATAATTGACATAATGAAGGTACTTAAAGCCCCTGATGAAGAACCAAAATAATTATCATGATCACTTTGAAAGAAGCTATAAATAGTGGGGCAGTGGAACATGCCAGCAATCTCAGCCACTCAGAAGGCTGAGACAGGAAAATTGCAAGTTTGAGGCCAGCCTCAACAACTTAGCCAGGCCCTAAGCAATTTAGCAAAACCCTGTCTCAAAATAAAAAGGCTGTGGATGTATGGATGTAGCTCAGTGGTAAAGCATCCCTGGGTTCAATCCTGTCCTTCCCCACAACCAAAAAAAAAGGAAAAAGGAGATATGTAACTTTTTGTGTGGGGGCGGTGGAGTGCTGGGGATGGAACACAGGGTCTTAGGGTCTGAGATACCCTCTAAACCACAACTTATTAAGATGTCCTTTACAACATTGTTTTGGCATGCTAGGCAAGTCTTCCGTGCTGAACTAAGGCCCACACTCCTACAACAGTCTTTACTATTTTTTTTTCTGTGCCACTATGAAGCAGGCCTTACCCCAACTCCCAGCTCTCAGAGCTTGACACTCATGCCCTAGCTTGCCCCGTCTCTGCCACATCACATTCCCCCTTTCCTTTCCTCCAATAGGCTTTTTAGCCTTGGCACTGTCTGTTCCCTTTGCCTGAGACACTGTCTCCCCAAATCTGTGCTTTTCTTTATCATTCTGGCTGCGTTGGTTGCCAATTTTTTTTTCTGTATTCCCAAATGTACCTGTCCCCTTCTTCCACCGTCTTTGCCCTTCCTAGCACCTATCCATGAGTTCATGGATGTGTCCGTCTTCATGTTTGTTGCCTATCTAGGCCTGATCTTCCTGTGAATTGCTTTCAGGCAGTGTTCACTTCACTTTACAGATAAGAAAACTGGGCCTTGGAGAAAAGTAACCAGCCCCAGGGGAGCTGGCAGTGCGGAGCTGGGCGAAGATTTGAAAGCCATGGAGGAGGAGAGTCTGTTTGCAGCCAACTGGAGAAGTAGGGTCATGGGGCATTGTCATACCCGCCGCCTGCGATTACCCTTTTGATGTTGCTGCCGCAGCAGCTCCCAGGTGTCACCTTCTCCCTTGTCGCCGAAGTACTGGTAGTCGGGGGAAAGCTGGACAGCTGTTGTCCGCGCCAGGAGCATCAGAGGCAACAGCACCAAGGCCGGCTGGCGCCGGGCCATGCTGGACGCCAACCGTCTCCAGCGCGTTCTGGGACCCAGCCACGCGACTAGTTCGCGGCTCACGCACTACCCCACAGGCTAGCGCAGTGGTGGCGGCGGGCTACCGAACTGTCCCCTTCACCGCGCAGGCGCAAGGCCCAGCCGCGCCGCTCCCCCTCCCTTGCCGGCGCAGCGGACCTGACCGCTGGGCTCGCCAGCCCCGCCCCAGCCCTGCGCGTCACGGTTCGGGCGGTGCGTAAGAGACTCCGCGGCCCAGGGCACACTTGGCTTTGAGAACTCGAGTCGGTGCATCTGTTCTTCAGCGTGTCCGTCTCTTGCACACGCAGGTATGGACACTTGGTGTACATCTGAATGGGGGTGAGCCCCCTTCCTGAGTTCTGGCCCTATCAGGACCTCCCTGCTGGCCGCCTTTGTTTTCCATCCGCCATAGTGGCTGCCTTTGTCCTTGCGAGGGAAACTGAGGCCCCAGCCTTGGAGTACGGGCCCGATAGCCGGGCTCCCCACACCCTGCCCCAGAGGTTCTCGATATCTCCTCTGGACTGGGGCTTGCGCCACTGCGCTCAGGCTCACTCACTGGTGGGGCCTAGGGACAGTGGCCCTGCCACTTTTATTCTGCTTAAGGGGGCGGGTCTCCGGCAGCCTCCCGGCCTTGTAGAACCGGCAGCGGGGAGGGTGAGTATGAGCGCCGCGGCCTCCTCTGCTCTGTCTCCGTAACTGGGCCCAGCACGCAGCGTGACCTTGGAAAGGGAGGACAAAGGGTCTTCCCTTGTGCACTGATCAGCGCGGGTCTTGGCTTTCAGTCATGGCCTCTGGAAACGCGCACATTGGAAAGCCCGCCCCTGACTTCACAGCCACCGCGGTGGTGGATGGTGCCTTCAAGGAGGTCAAGCTCTCTGACTACAGAGGTGAGACGGCCTGGCGGGGGTCCAGGTGGGGGCGGGGCCCACGGATCAGAGAGGCTAGGTCCTAATTTCTCATCTGTTTCCCTCCACCCCAGGGAAGTACGTGGTCCTCTTTTTCTACCCACTGGACTTCACTTTTGTGTGCCCCACGGAGATCATCGCTTTCAGCGAACATGCTGAGGACTTCCGCAAGCTGGGCTGCGAGGTGCTGGGTGTCTCTGTCGACTCTCAGTTCACCCACTTGGCTTGGTAGGAGCAGGGACCAGGGAGGGAGGATGCAGCTAAGCTCACACAGTAGAGCCAAGCCTGTGGCCTCCCTTTCCTCATCTAGAAAAGAATGGAAATGATGACTCCTAAGTCCTTAAGGATGGATGATGACAGTAATTAACATTTGGCAGCTAGATGCATGGCCCGTGAAGTTGCAGATGCTTTATCTCTCTTAGTTCTCAGAAGACAGGCTGTATTGTCCTATTTCATGAAGGTGGAAACTCCAGTTCACCAAGTGAAGGGCTGGGCCCCAGGACACAGACCGAGAGGAGGATGGGGACTCTGACATTAGCTCTCTACTGCTACTGCTCCAGCCATATGAAGCCACTTGGCTGGACATGGCAGGATTCTTGTCCCAGCTATGGGGATACAGCCCCTACACCTCCAGGGTGGGGTGGGTGGGGCTTGCAAGACCTGCTCTAAGGCCCCTTATCTGTGGTTTCCAGCACTCCCACTCCAACCCTTATCACTCCCAGGCTCATAGGGTGAGGACCCTGCTTTGTCAGACATCCTGAGGTCCCAACCCGGTCTCCCCTATCTCCAGGATCAACACCCCGCGGAAGGAGGGAGGCTTGGGCCCCCTGAACATCCCCCTGCTTGCTGACGTGACCAGAAGCTTGTCCCATAATTATGGCGTGCTGAAAAGCGATGAGGGCATTGCCTACAGGTATGGAGGGGATGCACAATCCACTTCTGGGAGCCCTGTCCCCAGGATGACCAGACCACCAGCCCTGTCCCCAGGATAACCAGGCAGTGGGATGGTTTTCCCTTCCCTGGCCCTCAAAGTGGGAGCTCCCAGCTCCTTATCATGAACCATCATGTCCTCAGGGGCCTCTTCATCATTGATGGCAAGGGAGTCCTTCGCCAGATCACTGTTAATGATTTGCCTGTGGGTCGCTCTGTGGATGAGGCTTTGCGGCTGGTCCAGGCCTTCCAATACACAGATGAGCATGGGGAAGGTGAGTGGATACACACATTCATGTTCACGCATGAATATGACCTTAGCTCCACTGTCAATCACTCGGACACTCACTGCCTGCCCCTGCACCTGTGTGGAATGGATGTTAGGGCCCTAAAGAAAATTCAGCTCAGGGTCTTGTCTGCAGGAAGTTTCCATCCTGGAAGTGGGTAAGGTCAGGTGAAATGCTCCAATACAAGAGCAGGCAGCTAGGTGGAAGCCTGTAATCCCAGGGGCTCAGTAGGCTGAGGCAGGAGGATTGAAAGTTCAAGGCCAGCTTCAGCAACTTAGCAAGGTCCTAAAAAATTTAGTTAGACCCTGTCTCTAAATAAAATATAAAAAGGGTTGGGGATGTGGTTCAGTGGTTAAATTGAACCCCTGGATTCAATCCCTGTTACAAAAAAAAGAAGAAGAAGAAGAAGAAAGAAAGAAAAAAAGACCAGGCAGCTGGGAGGAGGTGATAGAGATCTATAAAAGTCATTTGAGCAGGCATGTTCCAAGTCAGGCTTGAATAATATTATTTGCATTAAAGATTAGAGTACCTTCCCCTCACCCCCTTGTGGTGTTAGGGATGGAACCTAGGCCCTTGCACATGCTAGGCAAAGATGAGCCACACCCCAGCCTGATCAGAGTATCTTGTTTTGTTTTTTGGTGCTGGGGATCGAGCCCAGGGCCTTGTGCATGCAAGGCAAGCACTCTACCAACTGAGCTATATCCCCAGACCCAGAGTATCTTCTTATGTGGAAGAGAAACCCAACTCCAGGTTCCCCAAGTCCATTAGGGCCAAGGGAGAAAGTGGATTAAAGGGGCCAAAAAAAAAAAAAAAAGTGAAGGCTAGAACAGGAAAATGTCAGCTAGAAGATACTGCAGCTGAGCTTGAGGGGGCTTCTCTTAATATGCACATTCTTGGGTCTGGACCACTTGGTTCTAGCTTTGTCTTCTGCAATCCAGGATCTGGCATGCCCTCTGTTCGTCCCCTGAGCTTGATTATGGGGCTTTAGTCTCATGTGTGCATCCCTGTATCTTTCCACAGTTTGCCCCGCTGGCTGGAAGCCTGGCAGTGACACAATCAAGCCCAACGTGGATGACAGCAAGGAATATTTTTCCAAGCACAACTAGGCTGACAAACAGGCAGTGAGCCTGTGTCCTTGGATTCCATCTGTGCCCCTACCTGGGTCTCTGTGCTGACCCAAGAAAGGCAGGACCTGCCCCTTCCAAACTCCATGGTAGGGGGAGGGCTGGTAAACTAGGCCAAGGCTTTCCACTTTCTCATCCCCTACATGGGATCTGGTTAATAGTGACCCCTTTCTATCCAACTGGGTACAGGTGTATAGGTGACCAATAAAGCGTTAGGAACAGATATGACTCTGTGTTGGTGTGTTTTATCAGGCTGGGTACTTGCGCCCTGGAAAACCGACCCTGTGTTTACTAATTTTCACCACAAGGTGGCGGCCTTACTTCATGCACTGCTGACTCCTTGCCTGAGAAGTTTCCAAAGGGCAGCGGAGGATGCTTGGTGCCCCTAGGAGGGGGGATAGGTTTCAGAACACCCTACATCCTGACAAGTGGCCATGCATTTCAGCATCTATACCATACCATCGGCCAGTCTGGGTTCAATGTCATTTAACAGTTGTGCTCTTCCCTGGGAAGGAAGACTACCAGCCCAGATGACTGTGCAAGTCAAAAGTATGTGAAGTTCTAAGCACCAGGCTCTACTTAAGGCCCAGTTAACAGTTACTAGAACTGGAAGGATCCCTGTTAAATCCAGTCTTATGGGGGAAGAAGGTGGGAACCCAGTCCTGAAAGCAGAACCAGCAGTGGGAGCCTGAGTTCCATTCCCAGTCCCAAGGAAGGGCTGTTGGTATACCCCTGCTGTGGGAGGGTGAGCATTACTTTAGGAGGCAGACTAATTAGAAGTAAGGCAGTGTTCCCAGGGGGTGCAGTTTTGATGATGCATGTATTTAAGCTAGTGGCTTTGTCACTCTGAGCCCCCATTTCTTTCCAAAGAACAAGGCTAATATGCTCATTTAATCTATATACCCCTATTAATACTGCTACTCAGGCAGTATTAAGGGTCACTCATCTCCCTTGGAGTTTTTTCTACTTTTTTTTTCTTGTGTGTGTGTGTGTGTGTGTGTGTGTGTGTGTGTGGTGTTGTTTTTTAGTGGTGATGGGACTGGAACCCTGGGCTTCTCTCATTCCTGTGCAAGTGCTCTACCACTGAGCCACACACCCCCTCCTGTATTTATTTATACATGGATTAACGAAAGTGTCTGTTCTGCCAGCCCCACCGCAATGACCTGGTTTCTTCTCTGCTCTTGAGGGTTCCAACTTCCAGGCCAGCCAGACCCTACCGGGGCACTCCAGCAGTTCCCGCCTCCTCCCTGGTCCCAGCTGTAGAACAGGGGGCATGGCATAAGGGTGGTGGTGGCGCCCAGAGGCCCAAGTAGCCGCCCTGGCAGGACCGGACCTGGCAGTCGCCTCGCTCTGGCACCCGGGAGGGGAAACTGGCAGGCGGGCGCCGCCCTTCCTGGCGGGAGTTGTGGGGGGACGGCGTCGGCAACCGCGCAGAGGCAGCGGCAATCCTTCGCCCGGGTCAGATCAGACAGGGGGCGTGGGCGCGGCGGGGCCCAGGCGCCAGCCCGTTGAGGGAGGCTCGGAGGTGGCTCCTAGAGTCCAGGAGAGAGCAGCCCGCCCACCGCGGGCGCTCTGGACCCAGGCCTGGGGTTTTCCGGGCCCAGGCAGCCGCCCGCCCGGGAAAATCCCGGCCCCCTTCCCGGCGCCGCGGCCCTGCCCGGCAGAGCGGGGGAGGGGATTCCCGGAATCTGCCCAGAGACCGCGGTAGCGTCACTGGGCAGAATCGGCCCATATATGGGCAGCGCTTCCGCTGCGTCAGCGGGGAAAGCCCCGGTGCGAGCGGCTGGGCGGGGCCACGCCTGCGCACCTCGCATCCCGCCCCGAGCGACTTGCCCGTGTGCTGTGCTTCTTGGCGGTCCCTCACCCGTACCTTCCAACTCCGGAGAAAGGGGACCTGGAGAGGGTTGGACGCCCAAGCTGGGAACTTAAAATGCCTGGACAAAAAAGGGGGATACACACAAAAGCGAGCCACAATCAGCAGTGGGGTGGGATAGCCCAGTACTCTCCTCCCTCCACCCGCCCGGCTTGGGAGAAATAAAGACAACAGAAATTAATAAAGAACCTTTTTTTTTTTTTTACTTAAATAGATTCAATAAAAAGAACAAAACACACACACACACACCTTAAAATAAATTCTTTAAAGATCAAGTGCGTGTTTCTTTTCCACAGTACGGTGCAGAGGGGGGAGTGCAGGGGGCGAAGGTCCCCTCCCTAGTGTCCCCGCGGGCTTGAGTACCGGGCGGCGGGGCCAGCTCCGCCGCAATCGCCCCCTCTCTCCCCTCCCTGTTAAATACACAAATATATTATATTCAATATGAATCGAGTCTGTTTCCAACAGAAAAAAAAATACAAAAAAAAAAAAAACGTGGAAGGGGTCCTGTAAACGATGAGGTGGAAGGACTGGGCGCAAAGCCGGCGGGCCGGAGTCCAGTGTGGTTTGCGGCATCCCCGGCCTCGGGGCGGGTGCCCACCGCCTGCCCCCTCTCTCCCAGTGGGAGGCGTGCACCCAGCCGTCCAGGCTGGGGGGTGTCCGTACGGGGGTGGGTGATGCGCTCAGAAGGCGTGTCCCTTGACCCCGAGCAGCAGCTGGCAGCCGTTGCTGACGTGGGTCATGACCTTCTGTTTGAGCTGCGCTACTTGCTCCCGGAGAAGGCCGGCTGTACTCGACAGGCCCGCATTCTCGGCCTTGAGTGTCTTCACCTTGTCCTCTAGGCGCGCGATGCGCTCCAGCTTCCGCTTCCGGCACTTGGTGGCCGCCAGCCGGTTCCGCAGCCGCTTGCGCTCCACTTTGATGCGCTCCTGGTCTTCCATGTTGATGGGGGACACTGGCGGTGTGGCGTCGCGGCTGCGCGCCTCCGGCACGGTCTGCGGTTCCTCCTTGAAGGTGGAGGCGCCGCGACCCAAGCCCAGCTGCGCGGGGTGGCCACCAGCAAAGGGCGGTGCGTGTGGGAGGTAGCTGATGGTGGCCGTCGGGTATGAGCTCCCGGTCCCGACTGTGGCCCCGGCGCCTCCGGAGGATGCAGAGGCTGGGGAGTAGCTGCTGAGGTTGGTGTAGACAGGAGGTGGCTCCTGGCCAGCATAGACGCCCCCGGGCCCGGCCGGGGGGCCACCGCTGGCGCCCAGAGACACGTTGGGAGGTGTCACGTGGTTCATCTTGTGCAGGTCGTCCAGGGCTTTGACAAAGCCGTCGGCGAAACCCTCTTGCTCTTCGGTGACGCCGCCCCCTGTGCCCCCTGCACCTCCGCCGCTGCCACCCCCGCGGGGGTAAAAGTATTGTCCCGGGGGTGTGGGCGTCGTCGTGATCACGCCGTTGCTGTTGGGGACGATCAGGCGCTCCAGCTCTGAGGAGGCGAGCTTCAGAGATGCGCCGGTGTCCGAGCCCTGGCCGGAAAAGTAGCTGCCCGCACCACTGCCCTCAGGGCCGGGGCCCCGTGCCCCGGGCGCTTTGAGGCCCCTGTAGGGGTCCGCCAGATTGAGCGCTAGGCTCGGTTTCAGGAGTTTGTAGTCGTGTAGAGAGAGGCCGCCCGGGGCCCGACCGTATCCCGCCGCTGCGTAAGAGTCGTCGTGGTAGAAAGGCTGTTCCATTTTAGTGCACATCCGGGCGGCCCAGGCGGTCTGGGGAGGGTCCCTGCGGGGCCGCCCCGGGCCTCGCTCTGGCGGGTGCCGAGCTGTCCGCGGCAGTGGCCGGACTGGGTGTCTGGTCGCGCGTCGTGAGGGGCTGGCACCGACCAGGAGCAGCCAGCTGGCAGCCTTGAGCGAAAGCTCTGTCCTGCTTCCCGAGCCCCTCTCACCCTCTCTGGCGCGCTGGATTTCTCGGCTTCGCTTCCCCCAGCTCCCCGCTCCCTGCTGGCTCCGAGGCTGCCTGGCTGCGCTCAAGGTCCCAGCCGCTGAGTCGGAGCCACAAGCCTTTATACCGCGCTTGTCAGCTGCGGAAGTGCGTTCCCATTGGCCGACGCCAGAGCCGGGCCCCCGCGCCCCCCTCTGGAGCGTGGGGAAGGGGAGGAGGCGGCTCGCGTCACTGTCAGGAAGCGCGTGTCCTTGTAAACAGCGGCCACGGGCCGGGTAGCTCGGCGGGGTTGCAGGGGGGAGGGGCTCGAGGGACCACGGGGTACTCGTGGAAGGAGGCTTTGAAAATCCTAGGCACAAGCGGGAGGGACTTGCGAGGAGGTTGACGATTCCCTTGGAGTTTACCAGGGCCGATTTAAGGACCTGGTACATAGGGGCTGGGGAGGGGGTCCCAAGCTGGACATCGAAGGGTCTGAGGGACTCCGAGTAGCTGAGAGGTTTTAGGATTGCCAATACACTTCCCCAGAAAGTAGGGAAGGGAGGTTAAGCCCGATAAAGTCAGGAGGGGTGAGGAGACTCCTGATCCAGAAATTAACTGGGGGTCCCAGGCAAAAAGGGGTTGAGGGACTGGAATATTCACGGGAGGGAAGAGGGGAGAGATCATAGGGGGCAGAGCTGCAGGATCCATTATGCAAGAAATGAGTAGGGTTTCTTTCTTTGCTTCTTTTTTTCTGTGTGTGTGTCAGTGTCTGTGTGTGTGTGTGTGTGTGTGTGTGTGTATCCCTCAGGGATTAAACCCGGGGGCACTTAACTCCTGAGCCATATTCCCAGCCCTTTTTATTTTTTACTTTGAGACAGGGTCTCAGTAAGTTGCTCAGAGCCTCTAAATTGCTGAGGCTGGCCTCTAACTTGAGATCCTCCTGCCTCAGCCTCTCCAGCATCCACCACTGTTCCCGGCATATGAATAGGGGTTCCTGAGTCCATGGAAGAGTCTGAGGATTCCCACATAAGTGGAAAGGAGAAGGAATTGGGGGAATCTAGGTAGCAGACAGTGAGCAAGAATCCTAGGGTACAATGAGATGTAAAAATATGTGGGATAGAAGAGGGGGACATGTTTGTCAAAGGTGTGATCTTCTGCAGAGCCCTAATGAAATACAGTTAGAAGGCTCTAGGCACATCTTAGGAGCTAAGTGGACAATGACATGCCACAAGAGGGGGCTTTGAGGATCCTGGAGAAGGATCTTGCATCTTGCATGACTGGAGTTCTCCCTTGTGGGTGACTGTTTGGCACCTGTATACTCTGTCCCCCATCCCAAAAGCCCTCCCCTAGTGACACGGGACTTGCCCGACACCCTGTCAGCTCCTGGAGCCTAGACCCAGCCGGACGGCCGGGGTGCGGTCGCCCAACCCGACTCCCTTCCTTAGAAACAGGCTGGGGA